GCTGGGAGGGCGCCCCCTCTCTTTCGCAAATGGCTTTGCTTTTGCACCGAGTGGCAGTTGAAGTGGCAATGTATCTGTACTTATTCAGTTTCTGTTTTGGTCTAGATCAGAGTAAAATAAATGGAAATTAAAACTGAAGGCAGTTCAGTTACAACCTCTTGAAAAAAGTAAAATTGTCTGCTCTTTTGCACAAAAGATGGTCTAAACTACTGCCTGATCATACCTGACTAATTAATGTTACCCATGCCATGATGCAGTTCAGCTTGGTAAACCAATATAGGCGGATTGAGAGAACGATCACATATTTGTCAAATCTGTCTGAATTCTTTTCCCGTTCGATCTAAAGCCTTCTAATTGTGTTTTGCTTCAGGATCGATGAACCAATCAGGGACTTCATAAAACTTGATGAAATTTAGTGCCGTAGATTCGTCGTCTACTAGTCTTTGGCAATAAAACAAATTGAAGTCACTATATATCTCCTCGATCGGTTGCAGAGTTCAAATTGAAGTCTCCAAAAGCGTCATATTTTTCGCATCGTTTGATCCTGATTCCTGAACAAATATGTCAGCGTTGAACTTTCAGACTGGTTGGTCACCGAAGACAATGTTCTGCTAGCCTCGTACTCGTAGACCATGAAATATATGCACAGAGGGATGTACAAACTCTCGTACTCGTAGACTTTTTAAGAGTGCATACCTTACACAAACAAACCGCTCGTGCGCACAATATTACCAAATCAACGATACGCAAGAAACCGGCCGCGGGCGGCTGCCTCGGAGGGGATCAGAAGCCTGCCTGCGAGCCAGACGGCAGCGCTATGCGACAAGATTTACATATTTACTTGGATTGAAGAGGATGACAGCTTCCAGCAAACCCTAGCCCGGATCTGCAGGCTGCATGCAGATCGATGCAGAACGACTGTATGAGGAGAATTTCGCTACGACGTCGAGTTTGGAGATGAAGCTCTCCAACATCTCGACGTCTTAACGAGCCACGAGGGTGGATCAAGAATACTGGGATCGATCGAACTCTTTTCCAAGTTTCCAACGCGCGCTCATCTCTGGACGAACTCTACTGTCTAATCTGCTCGAGTTTAATTTGGTTGCACTCAAAATATTAATCCTAGCGATGATAAGATGATCTTCAGAACAGCAGTGCTCACGAAACCAAAAGATCAAATAGTACCACATTGGAAATCTACAGCGTCTGACCCCTACATAAAAGAGGACACAATTTGCAACACTCTCGAGTTGTCAGGTTGGGTCATTGTTGGTCTCGTTTGGCAGGGGTGGATGCAAATAAATCTCATCTTACCTTTCCGACCAATATTGAAGGTCGGCCTGACCCCCTTATAGAAGGATGTGTAAAACATCTAGGTCACCGACTGCCCTCGATATTCTAGCGTGGCCGAACCTGCCAACTCCCCCCCCCCTTACATCTAGGTCACCGACTGCCCTCGATATTCTAGCGTGGCCCAACCTGCCAACTGTGTAAAACATCTAGGTCACCGACTGCCCTTGATATTCTAGCGTGGCCCAACCTGCCAACTCCCCCCCCCCTTTTTTTTTCTTGGTACCATAATGAAAACCGACCCCCTTATAGAAGGATGTGTAAAACATCTTGGTCACCGACTGCCCTCGATATTCTAGCGTGGCCCAACCTGCCAACTCCCCCCCCTTTTTTTTTCTTGGTACCATAATGAAAACCGACCCCCTTATAGAAGGATGTGTAAAACATCTTGGTCACCGACTGCCCTCGATATTCTAGCGTGGCCCAACCTGCCAACTCCCCCCCCCCTTTTTTTTTCTTGGTACCATAATGAAAATATTTGTCATTATGTGTGTGAAGTTTTATTTGATGAGGAAGATTTACCATAAAATCAATAGTTCGTAGAGGGATGCAGTTTTAATGAACAAGCACACTACCTGATGATTTGCAAGAGGTGCTCTAGGAATAAAAAAATGATTATGGATGAATAGGCCACTCAAGGTCGATTTGGTCACCATCCATCATTGGCTAATTCAGATTGTATATTTAGCATCCTATACTATTTTCATGAGTTAATTTTGCTAAAAATTTCCTTCCATTGTTTTAGCATTATCTTAATGAAAAATGGCAGGAGTTCTTCCTTGAGAAGATAAGACATGCTATGAACATGGATGAAGCTTTGGCCTAATTTTCTCGTGGACAATTTATATTATTATAAGGAGTAAATTACACTAGCAGTCTTAAACTTGTAACGAAGTATCACTTAGGTCCACAAACTTGCAAAACGCGCACCGAGATCCTTAAACTTAGTTTAATGTATCATCCCAATCCAAAGCCTGGTTTGACCGTGTCTTGCCTTGGCATGCCACGTGGACGATAACATGGAAAAAATTTCTTTTTCTCTTTTTTTCTCCCCATCTTTTCTGTCCTTCCTCACCTCGTGTGGTGGACGAGGTTTCTGGCGATGGTCAGCGTGCGTGCTTGGGCGTCGGCCGGCGGGAGGAGGGGAGCGGTGCGCGTGGCGGGTGGCGGCCGGCGGGACGAGAGGAGCGGCGCATGTGCTCGGGCGGCAGCCACCGGGACGAGAGGAGCGGCGTGCGGGCGCCGGCTAGCGGGAGGAGAGGGCCGCCGCCTCTCCCTCTCCTCCCCTCTCGGCCTCCGCTCGCGGCTCCTCTCCTCCCGCTGCGGCGACATCCTACTTCTCCCTGTACTTCCTCTCCCACCGCCGCCCAAGACGACAACGATGGTGAGGAGTGGGTGGTGCGGCCTTTCAACCGGCACCGGAGGGGGGCGAAGAGGGGGGCGGTGCACTCCGTTGGGTGGCGGTGTGTCATTCATGCGGAAGCGGCTGAGGCGCACGTGGGGGGAGATGTCGCCGGCCACGTCCGGGGGAGGGGTCGCCGACAGCGGCCGCGCGTGCGGGGGAGGCGTCGGTGAGCTCGGTGCGAGCGGGGCGGGTGTGAGCTCGACGGCGGCAGCGGGGTGGCAGGGCGAGCCCGTGCTCGGCGGCATGAGCTCGACGGCAGGGGCCGACGATGTGCTCCACGAAAGAGGAGGCAAGCTCGTCGAACTTGAGCAGCTGCCGCAGCTGCTTGCCGCACGCGCCTTGCGGCTGGCCGGAGCAGGGGCCTTTCCCTTCCCCTCCTCCTTCCTCTTCCCGTCGATGGCGTTGTTGCCGCCACCGGCCTCGCCGCCCCCTTGACAGCCTCGCCGAGCGCTGATAGGTGGGTCCCACCTATCAGCGGCAAAAGGGAGAGGAAGGAGGTAAAGTGGAGAAAAAAAGAAGGGAGAAGGGAGAAAAAATAAAAAAAGTTCCAAGACCACGGTCAAACGAGGCTTTGGACTGGGATGATACATTAAACCAAGTTTAGGGATTTCAATGCGCGTTTTGCAAGTTTATGGACCTAAGTGAAACCTCGTTACAAGTTTAAGGACCGCTAGTGTAATTTACTCTATTAGAAGTTTGTTGTTCTTTGTGTTCTAGTTTATCAAAAGTGCAATAAGCTACTAGCTAGCCTACTGTTGATTGTGATTTCTCTTGGCACTCACTAATTTGCCACTGAACTTCTTCAGTTTCAAAATGATAAAAAGGTTGGAATTGGAGCGTCCATTCTGGTTGGCTGGGAGGGCGCCCCCTCTCTTTCGCAAATGACTTTGCTTTTGCACCGAGTGGCAGTTGAAGTGGCAATGTATCTGTACTTATTCAGTTTCTGTTTTGGTCTAGATCAGAGTAAAATAAATGGAAATTAAGATTGAAGGCAGTTCAGTTTACAACCTCTTTGAAAAAAAAAAGAAAAGTAAAATTCTCTGCTTTTTTGCACAAAAGATGGTCTAAAGTCTAAACTGCTGCCTGATTATACCTGACTAATGTTACCCATGCCATGATGCAGTTCAGCTTGATAAACCAATATAGGGATTGAGAGAACGACCACATATTTGTCAAATCTGTCTGAATTCTTTTCCCAGTTCGATCTAAAGCCTTCTAATTGTGTTTTGCTTCAGGATCCATGAACAATCAGGGACTTCATAATACTTGTTGAAATTTAGTGCCGCAGGCTTTGTAGATTCGTCCTCTACTTGTCTTCGGCAATAAAACAGTTGAAGTCACTATATCTCCTCGATCGGTTGCAGAGTTCAAATTGAAGTCTCCAAAAGCGTCATATTTTTCGCATCGTTTGATCCTGATTCCTGAACAAATATGTCTGCGTCAGTAGGAACTTTCGGACTGGTTGTTCAGTGAAGACAATGCTCTGCTAGCTTCGTACTCGTAGACCATGAAATATATGCACAGAGGGAGATGTACATACTCGTACTCGCAGACTTTTTTTAAAAGTGCATGCCTTACACAAACAAACCGCTCGTGTGCACAATACTACCAAATCAACGATATGCAAGAAACGAGACCATGTGCATTTGGAAAAATATCATGTGCGCAATATTACGAAATCAACGATGTGCAAGATGACTGCGTGCGTGCATCCGGAAAAAGATGTAGTACTCCACTATATCAGAAAAACTCTTACGCACTTGTGCATTTTTTGCCTACAAGAAATCCAAATCCAAATCCAAATCGGCCTATTCAAGGTTGATAGAGACTGGTGTATGCTAGCTGCTTGGAGCTTGACCCATGACTCTCTGTACCGCTTCTCTTTTCAAGCTCAAGTTGCCAAGTTGGTACTCTTGGATGAACTTAGTTCGTGTTCTTTACTCTATCTTCTCAACTTGTACGTCCTCTCTCGTTTTCTACATGCACGCTTGCTAAACTGTGTGTTTTTTAAAATTTTTCTATATGAAAGTTGCTTTATAAAATCATATTAATTTATTTTTGAAGTTTTTAGCTAATTATTAATTAATCATGTGCTAATTTGCTGTTCCAATTTGCGTGTTTGAAGGTTTACTTCCTAACCCACGAGTAGTTGCTATTGTCTTCCCTGTCAATTCAAGATGCATTACATCTACTCTCTGTTTGTGTTCTGACCAACCTGTTTATTTTATATACTGCCCTGCTCTTCTCTAAACAGCAGAGCAGCATACAACACATATTATATGCTTCAATTCCATATTTCTTGGCCTCCTCTTCTCCATGACTCCCCACCAGCTTTACATATTTCTTGGCCTCCTCCTCTTCTCCCTACACGGTGCACCGCCGTGCTCGGCCGCCGTGAATGATACTCTCACGGCAGGCGAATCGCTCGCCGTCAGCGACAAGCTCGTGTCAAGAAACGGCAAGTTCACGCTCGGCTTCTTCCAGCCAAGCTTCGTCACTAACTCTGGCAACATCACCTCTCCCAATTGGTACGTTGGCATATGGTTCAGTAACATCTCGGCATTTACTACTGTCTGGGTTGCAAATAGAGATAATCCGGTTACTGACCTCCAGCTCAACCAAACACGGCTAGAACTATCAAAAGATGGCGATCTTGTCATCTCAAGCAATGCCTCCATAATTTGGTCCAGTGCTACTGTTGCCAATACGACAACAGTCACCACCATGAATACTACTAGTGTCATTCTCGCTAACAATGGCAACCTTATGATAATAGGAAGCTCACCGACATCGAATGTGTCGTGGCAGAGCTTCGACCACCCAGCAGATGTTATGCTTCCTGGAGCCAAGTTTGGCTGGAACAAGGTCACTGGTGCTACTATCAAGTATGTCTCAAAGAAAAACCTGATTGACCCTGGTCTTGGGTTGTATTATTTTCAGCTTGACAACACAGGGATTGTCCTTGCCCGTAGTAACCCTGCTAAAACATATTGGTCTTGGTCATCACAACAGTCATCAAAGGCTATATCATTGCTTAATCAGATGATGAGCATAAATCCACAAACTAGAGGTCGGATTAACATGACATATGTCGATAATAATGAAGAAGAGTACTATGCATACATTTTGTCGGATGAATCATTATATGTATACGGCGTGCTAGACATCTCTGGTCAGCTTATCATAAATGTTTGGTCGCAAGATACACGGTCTTGGCAACAGGTATACACCCAACCTGTTTCCCCCTGCACAGCATATGCTACATGTGGACCTTTCACAATTTGCAAAGGCCTTGCAAATCCTGTCTGTAGCTGTATGGAGAGCTTCTCTCAAAAGTCACCTCAAGATTGGGAGGTTGGCAATAGGACAGCAGGGTGCTTCAGAAACACTCCGTTGGATTGTGGTAACACAACAAGTTCAACGGACGTGTTCCAAGCCATAGCTCGCGTTCAATTGCCCTCCAACACCCCACAAAGTGTAGACAATGCCACCACTCAGAGCAAGTGTGCACAATCATGTCTTAGTTACTGCTCCTGCAATGCATATTCCTATGAAAATAACAGATGCTCTATTTGGCATGGAGATTTGCTAAGTGTAAATAGTAATGATGGCATTGATAATAGTTCTGAAGATGTTCTCTACCTTCGCCTCTCCACTAAAGATGTGCCAAGTTCGAGAAAAAACAATAGAAAGACAATCGTTGGAGTTATTGCTGCTGCATGCATTGTTTGTTTTCTGGTAATGCTCATGCTGATCTTACTGATATTGAAGAAGAAACTTTTACATGCCAGTCAATTGGGTGGTGGAATTGTGGCCTTTAGGTACAGTGATTTACGTCATGCTACTAAAAATTTCTCTGAAAAGTTAGGAGGAGGTGGTTTTGGTTCTGTATTCAAGGGAGTGCTAAGTGACTCAACCATTATAGCAGTGAAAAAACTTGACGGTGCTCGTCAGGGAGAGAAGCAATTCAGGGCTGAGGTGAGCTCAATTGGATTGATCCAACATATCAACCTTGTCAAATTGATCGGTTTCTGTTGCAAAGGTGATAAGAGGCTACTTGTGTATGAACACATGGAAAATGGTTCTCTTGATGCCCATCTATTTCAGAGCAAGGCTACAGTCCTGAATTGGACCACCAGGTACAACCTAGCCACAGGAGTTGCTAGAGGATTGTCCTACTTGCATCATAGTTGCAAAGAATACATCATACATTGTGATATTAAGCCAGAAAACATACTTCTCGATGCATTATTTACTCCTAAAATTGCCGACTTTGGGATGGCAGCATTTGTAGGAAGGAATTTTAGCCGGGTTCTAACTACATTTAGAGGAACCATAGGGTATCTTGCCCCAGAGTGGATTAGCGGTGTCGCTATTACACCAAAAGTTGATGTTTATAGTTTCGGCATGGTACTATTAGAAATCTTATCGGGAAAGAGGAATTCACATAAAGTATGTACTGATGACAACAACAGTAATCAGGTTGCTTTTTTCCCTGTGACGGCCATTAGCAAGCTTCTTGAGGGAGATGTCCAGAGTTTGGTAGACCCAGAGTTAAATGGTGACTTCAGTCTAGAAGAGGCTGAAAGACTTTGTAAAGTTGCATGTTGGTGTATCCAAGATAATGAGGTCAATCGGCCAACAATGAGTGAAGTGGTTCGGGTTCTTGAGGGACTACATAATTTTGATATGCCTCCGATGCCAAGACTACTTGCTGCTTTAGCTATATGATCTGATGTGGATCATTGTGATAGTTCATATATAAATACTTCGTAGTAGCTTTTTGAAGTTCTGACGTGATGGAAAGAAAGTAATGTAAATTAACTTGATTGCTAAATTGTAGTAGACTACCATATATAGATCTTGTGGTCTCCTGTTCTTTTTTTTGTTATTCACATTCTTCAAGTTACCGAATGTAGGCATATGGCAGCAAGCAACAAAGACTTGGCAGGAATAGAATATATATGTACGACTAGCAAGACTCTTCAAATCTGCTCATGTTAGCTAACATTGCTCTCGAATTAATCATAGCAATGCCAATGACAAGATGATCTGCATGCAGAACGTCGGTAGTGCTCAGATCACGAAACTAAAAAAAATCAATTAGTCCCACATGGAAAATCTACAGTGCTTGAAACCCCCATAATAGAGGACGTGGTTGCATCGCTACCGCCGAGCCCGGTGGCGTGGGCTCGTTACCCCAGCTTCGGGGGGCAGGAGTTGGCAGGTTCGTGTAGGATTGTGAAGGGCTTTTCCCACCCCAAATCAGGTATATGGGCCCCACAGGCATAGCCAGGCTCTGATACCACTTGTAGGGCCATCGCTGGTCTCGTGTTTGGGTAGGGGTGTGGGGTGCGAACAAAATCCGCATCCTCTCCAATCTTTGGCTAGATGTTAGGAGAACCCAACCCATACAAGAGCGGTTGCGTTGCCCACCGGTGTTTGACCGTCCTCTCCAATCTTTGGCTAGAGGTTAGAAGAGCCCAACCCATACAAGAGCGGTTGCGTTGCCCACCGGTGTTTGACCATCCTCTCCAATCTTTGGCTAGAGGTTAGAAGAGCCTAACCCATACATACAAGACTCTCCAATCTTTGGCTAGAGGTTAGAAGAGCCCAACCCATACATACAAGAGGGATCTTTGGCTAGAGGTTAGAAGAGCCCAGCCCATACATACAAGAGGGGTTGTTGTTGCCCACCGGTGTTTGACCGTCCTCTCCAATCTTTGGCTAGAGGTTAGAAGAGCCCAGCCCCGCCGGTGTTTGACCGTCCTCTCTCCAATCTTTGGCTAGAGGTTAGAAGAGCCCGGCCCATACATACAAGAGGGGTTGTTGTTATCCTCTCCAATCTTTGGCTAGAGGTTAGGAGAACCCAACCCATACAAGAGCGGTTGCGTTGCCCACCGGTGTTTGACCGTCCTCTCCAATCTTTGGCTAGAGGTTAGAAGAGCCCAACCCATACAAGAGCGGTTGCGTTGCCCACCGGTGTTTGACCATCCTCTCCAATCTTTGGCTAGAGGTTAGAAGAGCCTAACCCATACATACAAGACTCTCCAATCTTTGGCTAGAGGTTAGAAGAGCCCAACCCATACATACAAGAGGGATCTTTGGCTAGAGGTTAGAAGAGCCCAGCCCATACATACAAGAGGGGTTGTTGTTGCCCACCGGTGTTTGACCGTCCTCTCCAATCTTTGGCTAGAGGTTAGAAGAGCCCAGCCCCGCCGGTGTTTGACCGTCCTCTCTCCAATCTTTGGCTAGAGGTTAGAAGAGCCCAGCCCATACATACAAGAGGGGTTGTTGTTGCCCACTGGTGTTTAACCGTCCAGATTGTTAGGCATCGTGGGGTGGTGAGTGGCCTGCTACCCCCATTAAGATGCACATCGAGGTCCCGGACTGTCTATGAGATTCTAGCATGGGCCTATCCTGCTAACTCCCCTTTTATTCTCTTTGAGATTTACTATAAAATAAACTTTTTCAATGTTAATTTATCACATGTTTTGCAACGGACCAGGCCTATATAATTAGATATTAACTAGGTGTGAAGATTTACCATGTTCGGACAGCCTGTGAGATTCTAGCATGTCCTATCTTGCCAACTCCTTTTTTTTCATTGAGATTTTACTATGAAATAAACCTTTTCAATGTTAATTTATCATGTTTTGCAACAGACCAGGTCTATATAATTAGATATTAACTAGGTGCGGAGATTTACCAAGTTTTGAAACGGGGTAGGCTTATATAATTGAGAGGACGTGAGGATTTACCATGATTGCCTATATAATTAGATATTAACTAGGTGTGAAGATTTACCATGTTCGGACAGCCTGTGAGATTCTAGCATGGCCTATCTTGCCAACTCTTTTTTTTCTTTGAGATTTTACTATGAAATAAACATTTTCAATGTTAATTTATCATGTTTTGCAACAGACCAGGTCTATATAATTAGATATTAACTAGGTGCGGAGATTTACTATGTTTTGAAACGGGGTAGGCTTATATAATTGAGAGGACGTGAGCATTTACCATGGCTTCGTAATATGTCAGTGCTTTGCAATGGGCCAAATTAATATAATTGGGAATTAATTGAGTGGGTGGACTGAGGATAAAGTACGGGGAAGAAAGTATTGGATCCTAAAGTGGTTACGTACACACGAAGAAGCGCACGGTGAGAAGGTAGACGGAAGGAGAATGACTGTGCTTTTAAAGTAATAGAGAAAGGCTTAGTATATAAATACTCAAGGTTGATTTACCGTGAAACGCTTAGTATATACCCTCTCATTTTCATATTAAAAGTTGCTTTGACTTTTTTTATAGTTAAACTTTTATAAGATTGATCAAATTTATTAAAATTTTAGCAACATCTAAAACGCCAAATTAGTTTCGTTGAATCTAGCATTTAATATTTTTTTATTTGTGTTAAAAGTAGTATTTTATTTTTCTATAAACTTAATTAAACTTTAAGAAGTTTGACAAGCTAAAAGAGTAAAAATAACTTAAAATATGATACGGACGGAATATAAGTTTAGATAATTAGTATCCTATAAGTTTTTCTTCATAAAATTTTATTTTAAATGTTCCAGCATTATCTGAATGTAAAAGTGCGAGAATGTTTTCCTTTAGAGGAAGTCAGTACTACAGAATTCGTTTTTTATACGGTTCGAACAGACTTTTATAGGTGGGTGGGTGGGCCATCTGCGAGCAAATCTTAACTAATATAAAGAATCGTATTTTTCCGGTCGTCACACGATTTTTGGGGTCCGTACCCGTACTGTGATTTTCGTTCGTCCACAACATCATCATCACAATCCCACATCTCATCACAAATCCAACTCCAAACAAAAGCAAAATCTCAATCCAAATTCAAATACAAATCGGAATCAATAAATGATAAGAGGAGATTGAGGGGCGAGCGGGAGGCCGCCGCTTCTCCTCGACGGACCTCCTCCTTCGCCGACCCGCCATTGCGCCGGGATCCACTGAGCCGCCGCTGCGCCGCCAGGGAGCTGCCGACCCGCCGTTGTGCCGGGAAGTCGCCGGATCTGGCGAGGAGCTGGAGCGCCGGCGGCACCCCGACGAGGAGGAGCGGCGCCGCCGGTGAGGGAGGGGAGCGGAGAGGCGGTGGCGGTGGGGGAGGGGCACGGAGAGGCGTCGGTGGGTGAGGGGCACGGAGACGACGCCGGTGGGGGAGGGGCGCGTAGATGACGCCGGTGGGGGAGGGGCGCGGGAAGGCGGCGGCGGTGGGGATGGGCGCGGAGAGGCGGCGGTGGGGGATGGGGGCAGCGGTGGGGGAGGAGTGCGGTAAGGCGGCGGAGGTGAAGGAGGGGCGCGGAGAGGCGGCGGTGAGGGAGGGGCGCGGGAAGGCAGCGGAGGTGGGGGAGGGGCGCGGGGAAGACGGCGGTGGGAGGAGGAAGGGGAAAAACGGAGGGTTAGGGATTAGGGTTCGGTCCGCGGTTTTGATGGATTAGGAGCCGATCTGAGCCGTCCATCTAAACGAACGGCTCAGATCGGTCCCGCATCGGGCCACATCAATACTGGGCCGCGTGTGCTTCATGGGCCGCAGCAGGTCGACCGGTCCAACAAAAATTTTTAACTTAGACTTTTGGTTAGGGCCCACACAACAGTGAGAGAAGAAGTAGGGGGAGCTAAGTGGACTTATTTCTAGGCCGGACAAGCGTGCAGATTGAGGCGGAGGAGAGGAGAAGGGAGGGAAGCGGGCTGGCTCGGCTACGGGCTGTATAATAAAATGGGCTGAAAATGGCCCAACGAGAGAGTGGAAGATTTTTATTCAAATAAATATTGCAATGATGTTAGTATTATGAAAAATAGCAATTAAGCTATGCAAATACCAATAAAATTCCAAAGAGTACAATTAATCATGGAGAATTTAATAAAATTAATTCCAACTATATCATTTTATTTCTTGTAAACTAATTTAATTATACACCTACCTACTTAAAAAATACCAAAATTTCTATTTCAATGAATTACATAATGTAAATCTTTCTCAACTTTTCCTCAATTTTCCCGTTGCAACGCGCGGGTACTTTTGCTAGCGTAAGTAAAAATCAGAATTTTCACATGTGGTCCGCCTTCCCACATGTGGAAAGAGACCCACCCATGGAAATTGATTTTTGGTAAAAATCAACTGAAAAAATAAATTTTGGTAAAAATCATAAATGACAAAATCAGAACCTCCTCAAATTCCCAATAAAATTCTACAATTCACAAAATCACAGAATACACAAATTCACGCAACAATCCTCTATAACCTGCATCGAGGTCAGCCCGGCCAGTCAACCAACAAGAACGCAAATGCTGAACTCAAGCTCATGAACCTGACTAGGTTTCCAGCATGTGCTACTAATGACTACCTAGCGGTCACCTCTTCCTCTATTCCGTTTCTAGTGCCATATCTAGGGCTACGATGGCCGCCCTGCCTATCACCGATGTGCCATGGCTTCGGCTAGTGAGGAGGAGGATGGTGCAACTATAGGGTGCGACAGCGACAGAGCAGGTGGGGTAGCTGGAGGAACCAACGATGGTGCCCTCGCTCGGCATGGTGGATCGAGACGGTGGAAAGAGGGAGGGGACATAGTGGTACGCACGAGAGAGCAAGGTGTGCGTGTACATAGCTAAACTTAATAGGCCCGCCTGTGGAAATCAATTTTCATATGCAGTCCTTGATGGTATATCTCGTACATTCACATAAGGGTCATCTTTTATGATTTGTAAAAATAAAGGAAGATTTCTGTAAAAATGAATTATGTAGTAGTAAGACATATTATAAGACTATATGAAGTTCTGGGTAATTTTCTCATGGAACAAACTTATTGTGAGTTCTTCTTTATCTGATAGTTTATGATATATGGTGCAATGGCTGCCAGTAATTGTTAGTTATCTTTGCACCCACTAATTTGCCACTGAATTTCTTCAGCTGCAAAACAATGAAAAAGAAAATTGAAGTACCC